AATCACAGGGCGGACCCATTGTAAACATCCTTATCCATTGTATTTATCCTCGAATAAACCTCGTTTATATCAGTTTTAACCTTCAAAACACCTGTCCGATTTATTTCCGATCCTTCCAAGCGCTTCACCTCACTAGTAAATTAAGATCTTTTCCTCCTTTCCTCCCGACGGCCCTGGAGCTGAGCATATTCGGCAAATAGGAGGAACGGAGGATTTATTTTGCCGACACACAGCACGTCAACACCGGAAACTAGAACGCCACCTCTTCCAACCGTTAGTCGGAACCGCGCGTCTGACTAAATACCGTATTTATTCGCGTAATAAATAGTACCTGTCGGAGTCCTGTCCGAAAACCCGAACCGGGAAGAGTTGAGCAGCTTCGTTACAAGGTTAATCCCTATGTTATCAAATAGTCTATTTTTTATTTTCTCATTGTTTTTAAAACTATTGTACAATCTGAATTCAAATTTTTAACAGATGCTCCCGAGATAACTACTGAGATAATATCAAAATCCCTCCGATGGTTAGCCGTCTGCGTAGAGCCATGGCAAGTGGTGGAGCAGCACTGGGCACTAACATCCAAACACCGAATGAAAGAACTTCAGGCAGCTGTTCCCACAAATTCAGACCTGTCCAAGACTCGGAAAGGAGCTAAAAGGTCTAAGCAGGATGCAGTTGAGTCAAAAAGGATGTTAAAATTGACTGAGGAACAAAGAGTTTCAAACTATATGACTCAGTACCTCGCTTTGTCCCAGCCATTGGGTTACACGCTTGTAAGCTTTTGTATATTTTGCACTTTGTTATAAATGTGAGAGATGCATAAAATAAAATGATTTAAATTCCATTCAAACAAAGATGTAGAATAAAGTTTATGATTAATACCTTGCACATCCACATGATTTGTCAAAAGTTACAAGTTCTGAACAGAAACAAGGTAAACGCACTATACAGCTCCATTAAAATGTTATTATTCCTAGCAAAATTTCTATAAATAATAACATTTTAATGGAGCTGTATAGTGCGTTTACCTTGTTTCTGTTCAGAACTTGTAACTTTTGACAAATCATGTGGGTGTGCAAGGTATTAATCATAAACTTTATTCCACATCTTTGTTTGAATGGAATTTAAATCATTTTAGTAGTTGAGATTTTAATACAATGTTAATAGAAGTTTTCCAAAAATTCAATTATGCAATTGTTTCACCAGCTTGAAACAGATTTCAACCTGCAATATACGGATGCTGCGAACCGTCTAATAGATTTGTGGCCAGAATTCAAGGTAAAACTTGTTGGACTTTTGATCTGCAGCCGTGGTGGTAAAGATGCGGAAGAATTTGAAGATATAGAAAGTAATTACTATCTAATCGCTCCTTGCAAGTTCAGTATTTACAAATTGTAGTGAAATGTACTGAACTACTTTATTTTAATCTTTCATTTAGTCTCACCAGATGCATCAGATGCTACAATTCTAATGAACTTTGCCCAAGTGATATCTCCTAAAAACATAATTGAGAATGGTTTTCCTTTGTGGCGGCCTACCAGAGAAGAAATCCAGGAAGGCTTCTTGGTGCATGTTCATGTATGTACTTTTATTATGTTTGTAACTTATTATGTCAACCATATTGAGTGTAGGAAGGCCCTTCTAGACACATGCTAACTGTTTGAAATTAAACTCGACACGTTAATATCTGATTCTGTCCGAATATAAACGTCATCCTTTAACTATGCCTGACTATACACAGACAGTTGTGAAGGTTTAAACTTCTGGCCAAGAAAGACTATATTTTTAAACCTTGTGGAATTGGTTTTACTATTTGTTATATTTCCCATTTGTTGCATCTAAAATTTGAGTTCAAAGTAAAAAGAATTGTTACTTCAAAGGTTTACTTCAAAAGTTAATTTTATGGTGAGAATATATTTTCTCTTTGCATCTTTTGTGGTTTCACTCCCAGATTAATTACAAATGTTTGGTTTCAGACTGTAGGGGATGTTAAGCCAGTGATATCACGTCTCAGGAACAAAGCTTTGGCTCGGGAGGACACTGTACAGCCATATCCAATAATTGTGGGACCATCACTAAACAAAATCACAGAATCATATGTTGTGCTCGAGAGCAAGCTGTACTCAGTTGAATCTCCACTTCGTGCAGTTGATATAACATTCAAAGCCTTTTTTGCGCTACATGCCAAGTTTTCCAAGCACGCAGCTCCTTTGTGGTTGATTCTGCAGAAAAGTGTTTATGGAATCAATACTAAATGGGACAATATGAGGAATTTCCCTGCTCTTCCTCCTATAATTACGAAACTGAAGTGTCAGTAAGTAAACTCTAAACTGCTGTACCTCTTTGCTTTGAAAGGAGTTTTTTATTACTTTGTATTTTTAAACATTTTTGTCCAATTCAAAGAGATTTCATTAAGTGTTTTATAGTTTAAAGTTCCATTGCCAAAGGCTCGCTTAGCTAATATGTTTCAGCTTTTGATATAATTACTTGTTCATTTGTACTGCCAGAGTGAAGAGTACCTTTTATATTTTTGTTTTTTTCCTTATTCTTCCTCAAGATTATTGTGCTAAGTTATTTTCCACCCTTGGGAACTTACTGCTCGTTAACTTTGTAGTACTTACTGATTTTTTGAAAGTTTATTAGCCACTATGCCTGTGTGTAGCAAGTGTAAGGATGTACTTCCCTCAGTGAATGGTCTATTGTACCATTACTCAATAGTGCATAAGTTGCAAAAGAGTAATACATTTGTTTGTTCTGAGTCAGGTTGTCTAAGAAGCTTTAGTAATTGGACTATGATACGTAAACATTATGTTTCGCTTCACAAATTTGTGCCTTTTGCTCCTAGTGCTATTTGTAATTTACCTGTACAAAATGCTGAACCGGTTGAACAAATGGATGTAACTCGGAAAGAGGATGATTTAGTAATGAATCCTGCTGATGAGCCTAGTTCTGTGCTTTCTAACAAGGATTTAGAAAAGATTTTGTTGAAACAAGGAAGTATATTTGTTTCCAAGTTGTATGCCAAATCAACTCTCCCTAAGAGCATTGTGCAGGAATTGCTTGAGGTTACTCAGGAACTACTTGCAAATTCTGTTTCCATAATTAATGAGAAGGTGTCAAGTTTATTAAAGGGCAGTAATCTAGAAGCTGGGAATGAGGTGCTATCTATGTTGGATACCTTAGCTAATCCTTTTAATAAGCTCTCATCCGACTATCTTAGGCTGAAATATTTTGAAAACTCTGGTGATTTTATTCTTGCTGAAGATTACATAGTTGGGGAAAGAGAAGAATACAGAAAGGAGAAAATAGAGTTGTTATTCAGACAGTGCCATCCAAAGCCAAGCACATACCTTTGAGGAAAACACTTAAAATGTTTTTGGAATTTCCTGGGGTTTTATCCACTATTCTTACATACTTAGGAAAACTGCAGAGTGAAGATAGAGTTTTTTCCAATTTCGTTCAGGGGGATTTTTAGAAAGACAAAGTGAAACATTATAATCAGGGGCAGATTGTCTTGCCTCTTGTCCTACATTTTGATGATGTGGAAATCAATAATGTTCTTGGATCTCACACTGGTGTTAATAAACTCGGCGCAGTGTACTCCAGCATTCCGTGTCTACCACCAGAGCATGTTTCACTACTTGAGAATATCTACTCCTCTTTCACTCTGCAGACCGGGCAAAGGAAAAGGGTAATGAACGTGTCTTTACCATACTTGTTGAAGAACTAAATTTTCTTTCAAGGACAGGAATAGTTGTGAACACAGAAAGAGGAAAGGAGAGAGTTTATTTCATCCTTGGCCTTATTTTAGGTGATAATTTGGGCCTCAATCAAATTCTTGGTTATAGTGGGAGTTTTTCTGCCAACTTTTTTTGTAGAATTTGTAAGAGCGAGAAAGCAGAATGTGAATATACTTGTAAAGAAAATCCTGCTCTTTTCAGAACCAAAGAAAATTACATGTCTGATGTTAATGAAGGTATGGCAAAATCTGGTGTCAAAGAAAATTCTGTGTGGAATCAGGTTGATCATTTTCATGTTACTGAGATTTATGCTGCTGACATTATGCACGATTACGAGGAGGGCGTCTGCAAATCTGACATGGCCCATATTCTGTTCTATTTTATCAAACAAGCTAAAATTTTCACTGTTCATGTTTTGAATGATAGAATTAATTCTTTTAATTATTTGACTAATGGCATAGCAAACAGGCCTCCCACTATAACACAAGAAAATATTGATAAGAAACATTTGATGATGTCTGCAAGTGAAATGCGCACTTTTGTCCTGTGCTTTAGCATGTATATTGGTGACCTCGTACCACTGAAAGACCGTGTTTGGCAATTCTATCTGACTCTGCGAAGTATATTTGATATTGCATTTACCAGAACTCTACGGAAGGAATCTGTCAAAATTCTTGAAGTCTTAACTCAAACCCATAATGAAGATTACTTACATTTGTTTCATGGAAAATTAACCCCTAAGTTCCATTTGATTCTTCACCATGCCCGTATCATAGCCAAGTCTGGGCCACTCCCCCTCATTAGTTCGATGAGATACGAAGCTAAGCACAGGGAAAGTAAACAAAGCGCAGCTGTCACTAGTTCAAGGCGACATATAACGCACACTTTGGCAACGAAGCAACAATTGAAGTTCTGCTATAGGTCTATTGCAGAAAAAGGTCTCACAAGCAGGTTAGAAACAGGCCCATGTGAACTTGTTGACGTTTCTTATTGCAAAGATTATATTCATTTTAATGAATCTTTGCCTAATAATTTTCGTAGCTCATGTGTAAGTGTCCCATGGGTGGATTATAAAGGTACTAAATATGCAGAGCATATGTGCGTAGCTGTGAGTGTGAATCACGAGTCACTTCCAGTGTTTGGTGTTATCCGTTATATTTTGTTGACTGAACATGGAGAAATTTGTCTACATGGTAGGATTAAAAAGTAGTAGGACTGAATTAATTTAAATTTTTTTATTGAACTGATCGGTACAAATGCTTAGTAGTCCTCGAAATAGCACCCTTGTGCTTCGACACAACGCATATAACGCGATTCCCACTGCGCGTACGCCTTCTGGAACTCGCTTTCCGGGATACCCTTCAGAGATGCCGTCACGGCCTCTTGGACGTCTTCTACGGAGTTGTATCGGTTTCCCTTAAGGTCCCGCTTGAGCCGAGGAAAGAGAAAGAAGTCCGGCGGTGCCAGATCTGGACTGTAGGGGGGGGGGGTGAGGCAATGTGACAACCCTGTGCTTGGTCAGAAACTCCCTCACCAGCAGCGCGGTGTGGCACGGCGCGTTGTCGTGGTGAAGCTTCCAAGAATCGGCCATGTCTGGCCGCACGCGGAGGACGCGTTTGCGCAACCTGTCAAGCACGTCCACGTAAAAACTGGCATTCACAGTCTGTCCAGGGGGTACGAACTCCCTGTGAACCACACCACGACGGTCAAAAAAGCAGATGAGCATGGATTTGTGCTTTGACTTGCTCATTCTGGCTTTCTTCGGACGCGGGGACTTGTTGGTGTGCCACTCGGCGCTCTGGCGTTTGGTCTCCGGGTCGTACTCAAAACACCACGTTTCGTCACCGGTAATCACATTGTCAAGGAAATTTGGGTTTTCTTGGACACAGCTCCGAATTTCCTGGGAAATTTGCACACGATTCACTTTTTGTTGATCACTCAGGACTCTTGGCACAAACTTGGCACACACCTTTCGCATGGCCAAATCCTCGGTAATCATTTTTTGGACGCTACCGTACGAAATCCCTAACTCATCAGCAATCAAAAGAATGTTTGTGCGCCGGTCGGAGTCCAGGAGCGCCTTTACTTTGGCCACATTTTCGTCAATCCTTGAAGTTCACGGGCGACCGACGCGCTGGTCGTCTTCGACGAGCTCCCGCCCCTCCCGGAACAGCTCATGCCACTCGAACACTGTTGAGCGGCTCATGGCAGCATCCCCGTAGGCATCCTTAATCATTCCGAGGGTCTCCGTCGCGGTTTTTCCGAGTTTGACGCAGAATTTGATGGCGTAGCGTTGTTCGAGATTTTTCTCCATCGTGGATCGCGACGTCACTTCTTAACAGAGGTTCACGAAAATCGACGTAATTACTCTCTGCTTGCCCGCAGACGACCGGGAAAAATATCGATCTCTTCGGGAGGCTCCCCACTACCACGCCCAGGTGGTCCGACCCCCCTCCACCACTCCGTTCACGCTACAAAAATTCAGTCCTACTACTTTTTGATCCTACCTTG